CCATTCATTCATTGTTGCACTTTTCTCCCCGCCCACTGCACCCCTACCCCCAGTTCGCTCTTCTCCCTGAAAAGCAAAAGAAAAACTCCTTCATTGGTATACGATCCCCCAGCACACTCCCACCTCCACCCCCACCACGAGTATACTCCACTCTGCAACCCTCATTCCAGACTCTTATGATAATCATAATGACCTAAAATATATTACTTTTAAACTATTCTCTCCCTCATTGGCTTCAATGCAGTAAACATAATGTATCCAGTTATTTTCAATCTTACCGCAACCCTGATGTCAGCCTCATTCTACAATAGTGGCACCGTATGGTATTTGTCCTTTTGTGACTGAGATATTTCGCTCAGCATAATGTCCTCCAGGGTCACCCATTCTTTTTTCTGAAGCTCAAACTGTTGGGTTTTTTGTTTGTTTTTTTTCTGAAGCTCAAACCGTTTTTTAAATTTTTTTTCTGAAGCTCAAACCGTGGTTGTTTTAATTTTTTTTTTCTGAACTCAACCCGGTTTTTTTTGTTTGTTTTTTGTTATTTTTTTATTTTTTAGGGTCACCCATTTTGAATAATATTGCATGAGTTCCTTGTTTTTCAATGCAGCGTAATATTCCATTGTGCGAATATGCCACAGCTTCTCTACCCATTAGTTTGTTGATGGGCACTTAGGTTGTTTCCAACTCCTTGCTATTGTGAACAAAGCCGCGATAAACATGGGTGTGCATATATATGCTTGGATGTGGGTTATGGTATCTTTAGGGTATATTCCCAGTAGCGAAATTGCTGGGTCAAATGGTATTTGCAACTTTTTGAGAAAGCACCACACTGCTTTCCACAGTGTTTGCACCATTGTACACTCCCAACAACAGTGAATAAAGGTTCCAATCTCTCCACAACCCCGCCAGCATTTGTTGCTTACTGTTCTGTTAAATTTTGCAGTTCTGACTGGGGTGAGATGGTATCTCATAGTTGTTTTAATTTGCATCTCTCTTAGAGCTAGGGATTTTGAACATTTCTTCATGTGCGTATTGGCCATCTGAATGTCTTCTTTGGGGAAGTGTCTGTTCATATCCTGTGCCCATTTTTCAATTGGATTCTTTACCTTTATCTTGCTGTGGTGCTCGAGTATTTTATAAATTCTAGATATAAGTCCCTTATCTGACATGTCATTACCAAACACTTTTTCTCAGTCTGTGGCTTCCTTTTTTACCCTGTTGGAGAAGTTTTTGGATGTGCATAGGGATTTGATTTTTAGAAGGTCCCATTCGTCTATTTTATCTTCTCCTGGTTGTAACTTTTTCAGGATACTTGGAAGACTCTTTTATGTTGTGGATTCGGACTACTAAAGTTCCTCCAGGCTTTTCTTTAATGACGTTTATAGTCCTTGGGTTTAGTTCTAGGTCCATGATCCACCTTGAGTTGTTTTTTGTTTTGTTTTTTTTTTATATGGAGTGAGGTGTGGACCTTGCTTAATTATTCTTCAGATAGTTTTCCAATTTTGCCAACACCACTTGTTAAAAAGGCTGTCATTTCCCCACCGAACTGATTTCATCTCCTTGTCAAAAATCAGTTGACCATAAATAGATGGGCTGATTTTTGGGTTCTCAATTCTATTCCATTGTCATTGTACTAGTACCATGCTGTCTTAACTATCACAGCAGTGTAGTAGGCTTTGAAATCAGGGAGTGGAGAGATACTTTCTTTTTGGGTAATGCCTTTGTCTGGGTTTTGTATTAGAATTACACTTGCTTCATAGAATGTCTCTGGAAATATTCCTTCCCTTTCTATTTTTGAAAATAATTTAAGTAGAATTAATTTTCTTTATGGCTTCCTTTCATCTCAGAGTATTTGGTAGAATTCAGCTGGATCAGTACTTTTTTTTGACAGGGTGAGGGAATCTTTTAATGATCTGTTGGAATGAGTCTATTTAAGTGTTCTACATCTGTCGGTGTCAATCTAGGTAGGTTATGAGGTTCCAGAAATTTGCCCATTTCCTCTAGGTTTTTCAAATTTATCAGAGTATAGCTTTTTTATAATATTATATTATTTTTTTGGTGCTAAGAATATTATTGCCAATGTTAGTTGTATCTTAGCTGAAAGCAGAGCATACCAGATAAATGTCTATTTGTGTTTCATTGACTATGGAAATGAAGCACAACAAAGGATGGCTAACCTTGAGAAAAATGGGTATTCCCACGACACTTAATTGTGCTCAATGTGCCTACTTTCTCATATAGACTCTTGAGTTTATGAGCAATTAAATTAGGAAGGACAGGGCAAAGTTCAGATTTGTTTTCCATGACTTGTTGTAATTTACTGACTGGCACCTAACAACAACAACAACCCAAACTGGAACAGGCAGAAGTCTAGTCTAGGAAAGTCATAAAATGGCCTGCTTATACACTTTAATAGGTATTCTTAAAAAGAAAATGATTGAGAAAAGAATGTTTCACGTATGAAAGAGTTCTTGTCTAGAAGAGCCAAAGTATGGCCTGAAATGCATTGAATTACTTGATATTACTCTCCTTCTCATACTCTTTGCAACTTTCCACACATATTGTGTAGAATTATGCAAGTGTCAGGTATTTGTAGCCCACTAGGAGGACTGGATAGCTTTTTGATAATGTAAATAATTTATTTGACACCTTTTTTAGTAGGACATTGCAGAAAAGAGGTGAGAGGGACTACCCCAGGGTTTGATCAGTTTTGCCATCCTGTTGTTGTTAAGTGCTGTTGAGTCATAGATAACTCACAATGACTCTATGAAAGAAGATCTCAACACTTGTATAACTTTCATTGTTTCTCCAAGTTCATAGAGTTTCTGGAGGTAAGCTATTTCAGAAGTGGATGACACTCCTGCTTCCAAGCTTGTTTTTAATTGGGAAACTCTATCAAACACTGTCCACCATGGGTAACCATTATCACATTTGTCACATCAGTGTCACAGTGTTCAGCATCACAGCAACCACGAGTTACTTCTGTATAGCAAATGGACGGACCAGTGCTATACTACTTAGCAGAATGTTTGACCAAAAACGATTAAAATCAGGCCTGAGGCCTGCAGATGAAAATCACCCACCTTTGGCTTGGTAGCATAATTTTCTGTCCACTAGGCCAAACAGAGCTCTCTCTATGCTGTCACTGTAGTTGAGCGTCATTGAGTAGTATACAACTCATAGCTATCCTATGAACAAAATATCTGAACACTTGTATAACTTCCATAATTTCTCCATGTTCATAGAATTTCTGGAGGCAAGCTATTTCATCCTAGGGGTGAAAAAACTGGCATCCCTTTACCACAAGGAAAAAAGAGCAAAGAGTGTAAGATATACTTTGGCCTTGGCCTGACTGAGAATCTCCTTTATCTAGTTGTGTGTTCTTGAGTCAGAACGTCCCCATAGTCAGAACTCCAGCAGGTTCTCAGAGGCCGTTAACCACACAGGAGAGGATTGCCTATCCTTCTCTCATGTAATAGTTGGTGGATTTGAACCACATGCCTTTGGGATTGCAGCACAGCTTCTTACCAATAGGCCAGTAAATATATGGATTATGAGGGATGGTGAGAAGGGGCAAAATGACAGTGATTGAGGGTGAGTGGGGGAAAAATTGTAGCAGCCAAGTCGGAAAAAAAAAGAGAGAATTTATAGAAGAACAGTGGATTTCTTGCCTCATGGAACTAGAAAGCCTAGTGTCTTCCGGCATAACCTTTGCTGTCAGATTTGATTACTTCAGCTCTATTTGTCTGATAGCATGTCTGGCTATTCAAGTAGTTAGATGCTTTTGTGAAGGAGGATTACTAGTACAGTGGAGTGCTGTTGAGCACTGAAAACATCAGAGCTAAAAGAACTTTGTAAAATTTTCTCAAGACGGGCAGAGGCCAATGTCTCCAAACTGAGGACTAAAGTGAGATTTACCTTTCAGAAGGACTAAACAACCCCACCTAAAATCAACAACAACCAACCAAGCAAACAAACAAAAACCCCAAATAATCAAAACCAAAAACTAAGCTATCTTGACTGAAGAACTTTATTCTAAGTTGTTTACAAGCCAAGTCTTATAGTCATGAGCATTATCTAGTTCTGTGTGGCCATCTCAATAAATTCCAGAATAGAAGTAGTGAATATCATGGGAGGGACAGCTGATGTCAGAATTAGCAAAAGTTTGGACCATTGAGGACATATTAATCCTTACAGGAATAAACATTGAGTTTTTATGTTGTTGATGGTGATTCTTCCCCCTCATGAAGAAGAAATCAGATGACATTTTTCCCATGCCATGTCCTCCCACTTTCACATATTTTCCATTTCTGTTACAGCAAAAACCTTGCAAAGACCATAGGGATTATCAAAATTGCAATGTTCAGTCTCTAAGTAATGTAGCATGTACTTTAATGGAAATGTTTTTCTGCATAAAATATAAAGAGGTTACTCAGCATTCCCTAGAGTCTCACTGTGAATGGAATGAATGGAATTTGGAGAAAGTGCTTCTAGCTCCAGAAGTTGTGGGTGCTCATTGGCAGTGATAATTGTACTGCTCAGAACACAAATATAGTTTGAATTTTCAGTTTCCACCCTTCATTCCTCATCACCGCTGCACTCTTAGTTTAAATATGACTTCCATTTTGAGCCCATTTAATTTCAGTTCAAAATTAAGTTACCCAGGCCCTGGGAAAGAAGGAGAAACTCAATAAATTACTTTCTTCTCTTGGTATGTCACTAATTAGACAGCTAAGTCTCTAGGAATTTGTAATTGTGTGTGAGTAATATTTAACACTCATAGCCTGGATTTTGAAATTAGAGATGAAGGATACCAGGGGACTTATCTTGCCCTAGAATCCCAAGAAACAAAAGTAAAGTGCATAAGCACACCATTTCCACGGCAAATAAAAGAATGACTACTTCCCCTCACCCTTCACCAATCATGCTTCCTTCACTGGGATCACCTGTTAGTACATGGAATTCTAGATGTGTTTACCAAAAGCATCACTAGACCCCAGATGTTACTGATTGAGGGATAGAAGTTTGAAGCTATCATCCAGAATCGACCTTCTATTGCGCCGTAACTTTCTCTGCCAATGTTGATACCAGACTGTTCCACCAAGAGCCAGGACAGTGAGCAGAAGGATGATACACATAGCAATCAATCCAGAGAACAGCATGTCGATGTCCTTTATAGGGATCTGCAGGCCTACTATCCTCACATTGTCTTCAATGTCTTTGGAGTTTGTTGCTGATATGGAACAAGAGAAAAATAGGTGTTATGGATTGGAAAGGAAAATCAGTATTTTTATTCAGTCCTTGTTAGAAAAAACATACTTGTTTAAATCAGATAGAGGAACTGTCTCTATCCCTCACAAAACCAACTATTGAAGATAGATCCAGATGTCATAGAAAGTTAGCAAAATACATTTTTCAATGACTTCTTAGATATCGTTGAGATCTCAATTCTCTAATGGAAGAGCTAAGACTCAAGGTGAGAAGGCACTTGATACATTTCTTCAAATATCTAAGGGGCAGTTATATAGATAAAAATATTTTATTTTGTCTTCATGTTTCATAAGATGTTGAATTAGAAATAATAAATGGAAACTGCAGAGAAACAGAGTTTGACTCAATCATCTGGCATGTCAGTGCTTACTTTTACCATTGAATTATTTATGACAGTAATCTCCCAAAATGCTTAGAGTTTTTTCATCTCTTTGAGTAGCTAATTGTGTCAATTTCTGGCATTTAAACTTTTGATGACCCTAGTTAGCCTAGCTCAAAACTGATTTCCATCAAGTTAAAGGAGTTAAGCTGACCCTTGACTGGATTTCTGAGGTTACTAATCTCACAGGTGAAGACTGCCCATCTTTCTCACAAGGAGCAACTTGTGGATTCAGGATCACTTGAGAGGTGTGACTTTTGGGTTAGTAGCACAATTCCTTGTGAATTACAACACTAGAGTTCTTTTAATGAACTAGTTGTTATGTATCATTGAGTCAAAACCAACCCAAACTTCCCCTCCAGTGTGTTTTTAGAGGCAATAAATGACACAGAAGACTGCTCATCTTTCCCTCATGAAGCAGCTGGTGGATTTGAACCACATGCCTTCAAATTGGTAGTAAAAGCACTAGGTCATTAGAATTGTACTAAAATTCTTGAGCCAAGCATGTAAACACCTATATTTCTCTAGTCTGACCTACTCTTCAGCCACAGGAACTCATTCTTTCCTCCAACCCCTTGTTAATATTGCCCTTTACCTTAACATGATTTTCTTCTTATCTTTCTAGATTCAACTTAATTGTTATGGGCCTTTGTAAAACATCCTTTAGTTCCGTTGAACTGCTGGTTCTTTCCTCTATATTTCCTCAATTTACTTGCTAGGCCAAGTGACTAAAACACTTACACTCCTCAACTCGGACCTAATTTGTCTCTTGTATAAAATGGAGATAGTTGTAATATCCATTGAGTCAAAACTGACTCGCAGCTAATACTGCAGTGGTTTTTCAGAAGTTGTGAGTGAAGATGCTTATCTTTTTCTTATGGAGCAGCTAGTGGATCAGCAACACATTCCTTTGGGTTGGCAGTGAAACAACTCACACAAGGCCACCAGAGCTCCCTAGTGGGGATAATAACCATATCTAATTTAAGGGTTTGTTGTGACGTTTAAATGAGCTAATACTTACAAAATGCTTGTTATTGTTGTTAGCCTCCAACTCATACCAACCCTATGAACAGGTCTGAACCCTGTAATATCCTATGTCATCCTTATCATCTCTGATAGACTTGATCCCATTCTGGCAATCCATCTTGTTGAGGATTTTCCTTTCTTTCAGTGACCCTCCACTTTTCCAAGTATGATGTCCATTTCCAAGGAATAGTCTCTTTCCCCTAACAACATGTCCAAAGTATGTGAGACAAATCTTCACCATCTTTGACTCCAAGATATATGTTTGTTATTTTGGCAGTCCATGGGATACTCAATGCTATTCTCAAACATCACATATGAAAGACAGTGTAAGGAATCATTTTTTACCATTTGTTAAAACATATAGTATTTATAAGTGCAATAATGGTTTCTGAATCTCACTCTTTTTAGAAACTAATCTCTTGAAAAGTAGACTACTTTGTGCTTGTTTTGGTATCCTTGACACTCAGAACCTGTGTGATAAATGTATAACTGGATAGATGGGTGTTGTGATCTCAGCTTCAAAAATGTGTCTTTTATTAGACCAACAGTTTTGAGATTTTTTTTCTTATCATGGATCTAAAGGAAACAAAACCAAAAAGTCATTTTTGAGAAATTTATGCTTATGGATAGCATATATGTATATGTCTATGTATATGTTGTTATTGTTATGTGCCATCAAGCCTCCAGTGGGTTTTCAGAGGAAGCAAATTGCACAAAAGGAGATTATTTGTCATTTTCATGTTGGGAAGTTGCTGGATTCGGTTTTAATTCCTCTGGATTGGTAATACAATTCCTTACTACTACGACACCGGAGCTCCTTTAAGAGATTGAGGCTGTTAACAATTTCATCTTGCTCAGGTCCACAATCAACACTCATGGCACCAGCACTCAGGATCTAAAAAGACAAGTTGCTGTTATACTCTGTTGGTGAGATTGTAAAATGGTACAACCACTTTGGAAGGCAATTTGGAGTTTCCTTGGAAAGATGAACATAGAAATTCCATATGGCCCAGCTATTTCACTATTTGGAATATACCCTGAGAAAATGAGAACCAAAATATAAATGGAGACCTTTACAGCAATATCCATAGAAGCGTTATTCACCATTGCAAGAACTTGGAAACAGCCCAAATGTCAAAGCACAAGACAGTGGATTGAGAAATTGTGGTACATTCACACTATGGAATATTAAACTGCATGCTTGCAGGAGCGATGATTTTGTAAATTACTACATAACTACGTAAGAGGTACTGGAGAGCATTATGCTAAGTGAAGTAATTCAGTCCCATGACAACAAATACTGTATAAAACGATTATTGTAGAATGTGTATGAGGATCCAAGGGAGGGAGGAAGCAGAGGAGAATGAGTGAGGAGGGAAGAGTTGATCATAGGGTGGCACAATTTGATGGGGGAGGGAGGAGTAGGTAAAGTAAATGGGAAACATCTGGTGTGAAAAACATGTCTATGGACTTTGTAAGTAAACCAATATAAAATAAAATTTTTTTTAATTTAGTTTGTTTATTTTTCATTTC